TAGAAGGAAAGACACAAATGGGGGTTTGGGAGAGGGGTGGATGTACTTATATTTACATAATCTGGAACTGATATATATAAGAGAATAAATACAATTTTTGCAGAATTAAAAAAGCACACATATACAAGCTGTACCAATAAAGGGTCTTTGTATGTGCTTTCTCAAGGAATTCAAATCAATGTTCTCTGGCAATCTAAGGCGTAAACATAACACATTTGGTTTGTCTGTAAAATGGGCTTTCTTATGGCACTTATCAGATATTAATATAAATATTTAACTTCAATAATCTCAAACAAACTTCCAAAAATACAATTTAAACCACTTAACTTCTAAGATCTTGTACCTTGATATCATACAGTACTCATCAATATTAACTGTGTCATTTGCCTTGCAGGATTATTTGTAATAAAGTAATAAGCATAGAAAGATCTTTGTAAAATGAGTGGTAGATACATGGAACTACCCGTCAGTGGAAAAGGGTAGATGATTATTTAAATGGATTTTTAAATACATAATCTGGAGGTATAAAATAAGTAGGAACATTTTTGATCGGAAGAATAAGTAACTCATTGCATAGTAAATATAAGTGATTGCGAAAAAATGAATGTTTAGCACTAATAGTAAGCATTTTATATAATGGCAGACAATGGTTACGGCTTCCTCCCTAAAGACTGCTCAAGTCAGTGAAACATTTTACCAGAAGGATAACTTAAATCTGAGGATGATGGTGTTGACACAGATTTTTCATGATGGTGTTCAATCTATAAACAATGAAATGTGTGAACTGAAAACAGAATTGCTAAATTTTATGTAAAATAGCTAAGCAGTGACTTTAGTGGTGTTGGAGAATTTTTCCAAATCAGATTTCTTTGGCCTACGTGTTACAATTCCATTTTCAATTTGCTACAATTTGCTGTTTAGTGAATAAATCTGTGTGTGTGTCTGATGGGTGCTTGATATACAAGGGGAATGCAAAAGATTCGTTCAGACACACTGTATACACACTGTAACACACACACTCACTAACAAACATCATACACACACACACTGTACAAACATACCTACATAATGCTACATACACAGTCAGACATATTATACATATTGTAAGTAGCTTTTTGCGATTTATGGAATTTTCCTCTACAAATACATTTTTTTTCTCTTGAGTCAGTATAATGATAAGTCACATGTTATATCATGTCAGGTGATGTCACGCATATATAATTAATTATGCAAGCTAGCATGGCCGGTAAGTGTGTTAAAACATGATAAGCTTAGAGTCATGTCTACAAATGCTTGCAGTTTAGGGAATAAGATCCATGTGGAACTTGTGGAAATAATGTCAACTGCTAATGTAGATTTAGTTGCTGTTACTGAGACATGGTATAATGAGAAAAATAACTGGGACATAGCAATACCAGGGTACTCTTTATATAGAAAAGACAGGGAAGGCAAGAAAGGGGGAGGGGTGGCCATGTATGTGAACGATAGCTTAAAATCTAGCCTAATAAAAGTTAGTGAGGCAAAGATAGAGTCCGTTTGGCTTATGTTAGAATTTGGTAATCACACAGTAACTTGTGTAGGTGTGATTTATAGGCCCCAAGGACAAATAGAAGAGTTAGATAATCTACTAGTTGAGAAAATAGCTAAAATGACAATGAAGGGGGAAGTTATCATTATGAGTGACTTTAATCTTCCTGATGTGAACTGGAAAACCAAAATAGATGCTTGTGCCAGGAGCACACATATTCTAAACTCCCTACTGAATATGTCTCTAAAACAAGTCATTGAGGAGTCAACTTGTAAAAAGGCCATACTAGATTTAGTGTTAACAAATGGAGATTTGTTATCAGATATTACTGTAGGTGAAAGTTTAGGATCCAGTGATCATCAGTCAGTGTGGTTTAATATAAGAACAGTGACTGAGTCACACCACGCAAAAACAAAAGTTTTAAAGTTTTAATGCAGTCTTTTCTAAAATTAAAATATGTGTAAAGGAGTCATTATCAGACTGGAGCAATTTAAATGGAGTCCAAGAGAAATGGAATTATTAAAAAGTTGCACTGCTGAAGACAACATAAAATTGCATTAGGCTTGTCAGTAAAAGCAAAAAATTCAAGAAACCACTGTGGTACTCTTGTAGTAATTATAAAAAAAAAAAACCAGAGTGGGGGTCAGAGTCAGTAACAGACCTGAATGGCCGCGTTCTGAGAGAGCTCTGAGCATACAGGTGACAATCCCAAAGCATCGGGCACCGAAATTGACATGGGGCACTCCCAAAAAATCCTCTCCACACACACACAGCCAGGGAAACGATCCAAAGAGAAATTCAGTACCCTGACGAAATACTTCTGAGACAGCGCGGATCAGAGCTCGGAGGCCGCATGTTCCAACATGGCGCCATGCTCATTGCTGAAAGACTCAGCTCCATCTAGTCCGGCAGACTCCAATCACTCTGTAACGTCGGTAGACAAGGACTTAGGGGACATAATCAAAAACCTGCCCTCCAAACAAGATCTGGCACATATGCTCCACAAGCTGGAAGTCTCCTTCCAAACAAAATTTGACACCATTGCATCAGATATTAAACAAACTGGAGACAGAGTGCAATACTTAGAAGATGACAGAGATGTTGTGCACTCACAACTCCTTCACCTCCGAACCACAGCAGAAGCACACACCACGTACCTTTCTGCGTTCCACCATTCTATGGATGATCTGGATCACAGGGGCCGATGGAATAATCTAAGGATCAAAGGACTTCCAGAGAAAGACTGAGAGGATTTACCTGCAATCCTTAGAGAACTATTCAACCTTGTCTTAGGTAAGCCGGTGGACAGCCAGATGCTATTTGACAGGGCACATAGGGCTTTGCACCCCATAGAGCTGCCAGCGGAACAGCCTTGAGATGTTATCTGCTGACTTCATTATTACACGGATACTCCGAGCTCTGCGTCAGGCCTCACAGCCACTATTATTCTACGACAATCAGATCCAGATTTACCCAGACCTCTCATTGTCCACCCTCCAAGCGAGACGCCAACTCAGACTGAGTACCGACCTCTTTAGGACCAGGAACATTCTCTACCGCTGGGGTTTCCCCTTTGCCCTGATTGCCACCCACAATGGCTCTTTGTACTCATTGTCCAACGTAGCCAACATAGCGGTATTCACCCTGGGACTGCCTGACATTCACCTAAATGACTGGTATGGCCCAATTTAGATCCCAAACCCACCCTGACCCCCCGGGAGACAGCGGGGATTCTCTCCCCTACAGCGCCGACATCAAGACAAGCACGACCCACCCGCTGAAAAGGGCCCGAACCCAGGGAAAACCCAGGGGCATGGTCCAGCAGACCGCAACAGGGACTGAACACTGTTTTCCTTCCGACATTTGACTCAAGGACGGCCTACAAGGAAACAAATACAGAACTCCTACTCGGACCAAGCTGCAACAAAACTTCCCCTGCAAGTCTTGGTGCAAAAGCCACATGGTACACCTACCAAGACCCACCGTACGTCACAAGACCCCACTGCGGCCACACAGTGGACACTCCACGACAGAAGACCCTTACCTTACCGATCGCTGAACACAGAGGACTTTACTTCAAAAGACCTCCAGAGCTACACTTCACATCCAATACTGCAAGTATAGACAAGCAAGGCGGGGGAGGGGAAAGGGGGAATGGGGTGACTCTTGTCATGCACTTACACAGGCCGGGTATGCCTCCTCAACAATTTTACTCCAACTTCAACATCAAAGGTGTAGTCACTCCCCCCCCACTGGAGACTGATGGCCGGTGCCTCATGCGGGAGTAATATGCACAGGAGAACAACCACATAGCACACAAAATTACAGTCATTAATGTAGTTGACACATTACTATATAGGCCCCTGAGTGGGAAACAACATTCCTTTTTCCGGTATCAATCCACATTATGTTGCAAGGCCCCATGGTTAACTTTGCCCGCACAGCCCTACCTCACTACAGTTCCGCTGTAGGTCAGCTACCCGAGAGTCATGTTCCCCCTGCCCCAAAACAGTAAAAGATGCTTACCACCGCCTGTGATTGTCTCCTGGCTCGTAGGAGTGCGTCCAGACAACTTTGTAACACCTAACTCTCTCCCCCAAGTATAGCTGAGCACAGTCTTTGGTTTTGTGACTGTAATATACACCCTTTCCTGGACAGTACTCAGGTCCAGGGGGCTCCACCATTCAATTTTGGCTAATTATACACTACCGTAATAACGTTCCCTCTCAGCTACCCTATATACTATATAAAGTTTATATGTATATAGTTTTTTGGTTGTTTACCTTCCAATACTTACCTGTCCTACATTTGTACCGACTGACTACTTTGTATACATTTCAGACACACACCTAAACCAACACAGACCTAAACCGCACAGAGACATGTCCCCTATCCGGCTAATTACCCTTAATGTCAGAGGTCTTAACTCTCCGACTAAACGCTCTCTTTCGCTTACTGCACAAACTCAAGGCGGATATCACCTTTCTACAAGAAAACCATTTCAAGGTTTTCTTCTGAAGATTCCCTACAGGAAATTACAGTAACTACGAGGGGGCAAAAGCTAGAGGAGTGGCTATCCTCATCTCCTCTCAAATTCCATTCACGTACATAGCACACCACTCAGAGGATAATGGCAGACTACTGATAGTTAAGGGCCGCATAGGCCAGACACCCATCACACTAGCAAACTTTTATCTACCTAACCAGAGACAAAACCACTTTCTCAGGCATTGTCTCAAAACTATAAATAAGTTCAGTGAAGGTATCCTGATAATAGGAGGCGATCTGAATGTATATTTAGACTCTGACCTCGACACCACATCCTCAGCCACCTCATACCAATCTCAAACCAGGAAACATATGACCAAAATGCTGGACGACTCACAACTATTTGACAGCTGGAGGATCGTACACCCCCAATCCAGGGATTACTCCTTTTTCTCTGCAGTGATTAATACCTATTCTAGATTAGACATAGTTACATAGTTACATAGCTGAAAAGAGACTTGCGTCCATCAAGTTCAGCCTTCCTCACATATGTTTTTGCTGTTGATCCAAAAGAAGGCAAAAAACCTAGTCTGAAGAGCTTCCAATTTTGCAACAAACTAGGAAAAAATTCCTTCTTGACCCCAAAATAGCAGTCAGATGTCTCCTTGGATCAAGCAGCTATTACCCCACTAATTGGAAATTATATCCCTGTATGTTATGTTTTTGCAAGTAGTTATCCAATTGCAGTTTAAACATCTGTATAGACTCTGACAAAACCTCCTCTTCAGGCAGAGAATTCCATATCCTTATTGCTCTTACTGTAAAAAAAAAACAACCTTTTCTTTGCCTTAGATGAAATCTCCTTTCTTCCAGTCTAAAAGTGTGACCTCATGTCCTATGTATAGCCCTGTTTATGAATAGATTTCCAGATAAAGGTTTGTACTGGCCCCCAAATATATTTGTATAATGTTATCATATCTCCTCTCAGGCGCCGTTTTTTAAAAGTAAACAGATTAAAATTTTGTAACCTTTCTTAATAACTAAAATGCTCCATTCCTTTTAGCAATTTTGTAGCTCGTCTCTGCACTTTTTCTAGTGCCATGATATCTTTCTTCAGAACAGGTGCCCAAAATTGCACAGCATATTCAAGGTGTGGTCTTACCAGTGATTTATAAAGAGGTAAAATTATATTTTCATCCTGAGAATTTATGCCCCTATTTATACATGACAAAACCTTACTGGCCTTAGCAACTGCAGATTTTGCCTTCTTCATAGATTTCTTCACCTAGCTCAGTCCTGTGACTGTGGCCCTATCACTTGGACCGACCATGCGCCCCTGTCTCTTGCAATTCAAACCCGGCCGCTCCTCCCTAAGACCTTCCAATGGAAGGTAAACGATTTACTACTTAATAAACCAGAGATCATAACACAAGTGACAAAAACCCTAGACCAGTACTTCCCCAAGAATACAAACCCGACTACCTCGCCAATGTTAGTATAGGAAGCACACAAAGCGGTAGTTAGGGGTCACCTAATAGACCTAGGATCTACACACAAAAAGGCTACAGAGGCTCAGATAATGTCTCTCACGCAGGAAATTAGCACCTTAGAGAACACCCATAAATGGGACACTAACATTACTATATACAAACAGCTATTGGACAAAAGATCCTCCCTACTACAACTCCTAAACACCAAGGCCAGGCGGAAACTGACGTTGACCAAATACTCCTACTATAGGCAAGGGGGAAAATGCTCTCAAACATACGAATGCTGTAAACAGTCGAATAGGAAAAACCATACGAAAGGTTTACAGTTGAACTGGAACAGCATACAATAAATCCCCCCAAAAACGAGACAAGGCTCTGTGTTGAGGGTCAAAACAGGAACAGACAGAGCTGTGGGTTTATTGTTCTTATATGCACATTCTTACACATCAGTACCACCCACAGGGTTTTGTAAAACAACCAATAAACACTTACAATACACTCAGACACTCCCACACAAAATCCTCCCCTCTGCCTGTGATACAATTACCTTACACAATGGGTTAATGTATTTATCACAGGCAGAGAAATACAGTTTTTCCACACTATTCATAACTTTAAAAGTATGCATCAAATTCACATTACATTTTCAGAATCAGCATACTCCAAATACATATGTCAAAATCATACAAATTGGTCCAGTTGGTCAAATGTTAGATCAAAGTCCTTTGTGACCAAATTAAGCATGGCTATTCTGCCCAAACCCAATTCCAGAGAGTCTTCTATCCTGGAGATAATTGGGAAGTAATCCAATTATCTCCAAGGACAGAGGCAAAACTTCATTAGCCACATGGTAGCAAAAGACAACTAGAAAAGCTACAATTTCTGGGGAAATTGTGTGAAGTGTTCTTGCCTCCACCAGTAGTCTACAACTGGAGTGGGCGGAGTAACTTATCATTTATATAGCACATTTAATTGCAACGTTGTTGCACAGTTACATTAAACCATACATTTATAAAACATTAGCAGGTGTTCAAAAGGCCCTGTCTATGACATCACTTGCTGCTGCAGCCTGACACAGGTCAGAGTATTTTGGCGGTTGCCATCTTCAAACGGTCGTATCTTAAAAACTATAACTCCTACAGCGAAGAGCTTTATATTGTGAGAATCACAAGACCCAGACCTACATTTTGATGCATAGTATGTCTTTGAAGTATTAAAATTGAAGGCACAGTCGCAGTTTAGAAATTGCACTTCAAATTTGAGCTTTGCAGAGTGAAGTTTCAATGAATGTCAATGGACGGCGTTAGTTGCAAACAAATGATTATATTGTGAAAACTATCAGGACTATGGCTTAGCTGTTGACATGTTTAGTGGCAGGAGGGATAGCTGAATGTTTTGATATAAGATTTGTGTAGGTGGGCCTGAAAATAAGGGAGTGGTGGCAGTTTAGAAATCATGTCCTGATTTTTCAGCTTTTGCCAGCTCCCACTCTAGCTTTGCCATTCATTCCTATGGGACAAATTGCGCCACAAGAACGTGAACCATTTGGCGAAACATTCCACAAAGTAATAGCAATCTGATCGGGAACAATCTGCACGTTTTGGTAAATTTTTGTCTATGTAGTGTAAAAACTGTGGGAGGAGTTAGGGTGGCAAATTTGGCTATAATAAAAATAATAATATATATGTGAGATAACAATAAGTGGTCTTGCTATGCAAGAACACTTAATAATATATATGTGAGATAACATTAAGTGGTCTTGCTATGCAAGAACACTTAATAAAATACAAAAAAATATATAACTGTGCAGCTACTGCATAAAACAGGTACATTCAACAAATCCCCAGATAGCTTAGATCTGAGCGCACATTATTACCGAATGGCACTCAGATCACATAAATACAGTTCAATTGCCATGGAGCCAAAGTCTTTCACATAGTCTTTCGTTATACGCATGTGCTCCATGGCATAGCTATTTGGGGTATCACTGTTCAAATAGGGCAAGTACCGAATGACCCGGCTTTCGTGTCTTTGCAGGGGAAAATCAAGCGTTTCAACATGGGGCCATAGTCTAAAGGCAGCAGGCGGGCAACCAGGCTCCTCCAATGCCCAGTGGCGAGATTGGTCTCGTCACATCCCCCATAACCAGAGTCGAATTCCAAGAGTCGTGGCCCAGACGGCTTCTCCGCAAAATACTTCAAAACCTTTGCACATAACGTAACAGAACCATTCGTGTCAGCATTTAACTCCCTCACAAGCTCTGAAACACTCCCATAAGCGGCACTTGAAGCTCACATAGCACTCATATCAAAACCGGGGAATGATCCCTTTCAAATGTGGAAACTACAGGCTTATCTCTCTCGTCTCTACATAAAGATCTTTAAAAAAATCCTGGCCAACCACCTCAGACCATTGTTGTCTACTCTGATCCATCCTGACCAAGTGGGCTTTGTCCTAATGCGAAAGGCTAAACACAATACAACCAAGGTGTTCAACTTAATACACCTGGCACGTTCTTCCACCGCCCAGAGCCTGATCCTCACTATAGACACAGAAATAGACGCTCCTGCTAGAAATGATGAGGATGCTGGAATTTGGATGCAACTGGCCAAAATGGGTTTTGGCTATATACTCCAAACCATTTGCCAGAATCCAAATCAATGGCCAACTCACAGACAGGGTATACATATCGAATGGCATGAGACAGGGGTGCGCCCTCTCCCAACTCCTATTCATATTGATCCTAGAACCCTTTTTACAAGGTATCAGGGACCAACAAAACATTAAGGGGCTCACAGCAGGGGACCAAAAGTATAAAGTGTCCACGGTGACCTTCTCTTTACCATCTCCGACCCACAACGTTCCTTGCCCAATCTGATTGAGGAAATCACGCTCTACAATCACATTTCCAATTTCAAGGTGAACTTCTCCAAAAGTGAGATACCCCTATCCAGATAGACCCCTCCCTGCGCACAGAACTATAATCCAGCTACCCCTTCCAATGGGCACACACCTCGGTTAAGTACCTGGGTATACACCTGTCACAAAACCTAACTCAACTCTATGAATTAAATTTCCCACACCTCATTGAAACCATAACTAGTGATGCCAAACTCTGAAACAAGCCCCACTTAGGCTGGCTGTGCAGGGTACACACACTAAAAATAAACATACTCCCTAAACTACTATATATCATGCAAACGCTCGCGATAACCCTCACAACCTCCTTCTTCACAACCACAAAAAGGATATTTACCTCATACGTATGGGCCAACAAACACCCCAGATTGCCTTATAAGCTTATAACGAGACACCTTTTCCAGGGTAGGATAAATTTGCCTGATATAGAAAGCTACCACAAAGCCATGACACTCACGAGAATCTATGAGTGATCATCCCCTCAACCCATGAAACAGTGAGTCCAACTGGAACAACTCGTTCAACGCCCCCCTCTACACGTTTCCATGGCATAACTCTGTATCCTCTGACACACAACCCGATCTTTCCAAACCACGCATTTCCAATTTTGCCACGACACTCCATGCCTCCAACTGGGGACTATCCTTGATAACAATGGTATTAGGCCTCTATCAGATGTAACCTGGACCGCACGACTGACTACTATGCAATAATTGAGGTTCCAACAACTGACACACTTTATCACGTCAACGCCCGATCTGACGCAAGAGCCTAGACCCAGCACGCTATTTGAAGAGATGTGCTCCGACCAAAAGGTTCAGGTGAAACACTTATCCAAATTCCACAAGCTCCTACAGCAGGAGAATGCCCCCAACATTCCGCCTTACACTATGGGAAGAGGAGCTTCACCTTTCGTTAACAGACTAGGAATGGAAGCAAATCTTTTCCAACCTCTTTAAATCCTCCATCAATAATTGCATACAAGAAGGCAACATTAAGAGACTTTCGAGACGGCACCTCACACCCACGAGATTACACAAAATCTTCTCTGGCACCCCAGATAAATGCTGTAAGTGTCTCCATAGTAGAGGCAGGGCCGCCATCAGGGGGTGACAACCATAACAGTTGTCATGGGCCCGGCGGCCCTGGGGGTCCTGGCCACCCGGGCCCCACGTGTAGCGGTGGAACTGCTGATGGGGCCCATCGGGTGGCCCACGCACTTAGGGCCACCCAATGAGCCCTATATCTTCAGGGGCCCGGTCAGCACTGTGGCCATGGTATAGTGAGACCGGGCCCCTTTAAAAAAAATTAAAGATGCCGCCACAGCGCAAGTGCTGC